TCTCTCTCTCTCTCTCTCTCTCTCTCTCTCTCCTCTCTCTCTCTCTCTCTCCTCTCTCACTCTCTCTTTAAAAAAAAATAAGTTACAGTGGCAGAGCAGCAAGGGCTACTCAAAGCATAAAGTGGATCATTGTTATAGTAGCAGTGAAAATGGCAAGAAATTCTTAGATTTTTGGAATGTTTTCAAGACAGAGTTAACTAGATAGGTTTCTTGATGACTTGAGAGAGAATGGAAGACATGAATAAGACTCAGGTTTTAGGCCAAAGCAACTGCAAGGGTGGAGCAGCTTTGGAGGCACCATCAATTTAGTCTTGGGCATGTAAAAAGTGTTTAAAATGTTTGTTAAACATGCAAGTGGGATACTTAGTTAGTTATTTAGGACTGGAATTAGGGAAAGGGATAGTGGAAGGGGTGGGGTCTGTTAATACAGGTTGATTATCCCTTAAATGCTTGGGATCAAAAGTTTTTTAGATTTTGGAGTTTTTCAGATTTTGGCACATTCATAATAGACTTCATAAATTGAGTACCTCTAATATGAAAATCTAAAATCATAAATACTCTGAACTTGAAACTTGAGCATTACTGTTTTCACTCAAAAGTTTTGGATTTCAGTTTTCCAGGTTAGGGAATGCTCAAACATGTAAGATTTGGGGTATAGTGTTAGCAGGCAGAAGAGACATGTAGGTGTTTAGGAATTACTGGTGTTTAATCTGTTGACTGTTTATAATTTAGGACTTCTGTGAGTTCATTAAGACAGTTTTTTTTTTTTAAGAAAAGGTAACTCAGTAAAGTTGCAGATATACATATATATATATATATATAAAATATACACACATATATAAATAATTATATGTATTTATATATATTTATTTTTTAGTTGGACAGAATATTTTTATTTTATTTATTTATTTTTATGTGTACTGAGGATCAAACCCAGGGCCTCGGACATGCTAGGCGAGGGTTTAGGAGACCCCCAGTGTTCTAAAGTGTTTCATTTTTTTTTTCTACCACTGAGCCACAATCTCAGCCCCAGAAGTTATACTTTGATTTCTCAAACCATTCTTTCAACTCAAGCAAGAATGAATAAATTAGGTGAAATGTATAACTAAAGTATTATCCTTTTTATTATGCTTAATTCAGATGAGACTATTCATCTCTGTATTCCCTGGGGTCACTAGAGGTTGCCCTGGGTACTTAGGAAATGTTGACCCTTTAACTCAGAGACATTCACAGAATCTGACAAGGGAAATGCCTGAGGTGGTCTGGTAACTTCAGAGTGACCCTTGAAGACATTTACATCTTCCTTCCAGTCCTGACCTCTATAGGTTTTGGGTCAGGGCTGGGATACAGCTCAGCAGCAAAGCCTTGTGGGTTGGGGGAGATAAATGCTGAGGTTAAAAAAAGATCTGTGTTTTTCTGACATTTTCTAAACCTGAACTATTTAGGAAACTTGTTCAACAGTCTTATCTTTTTCTTTCTACCTGTAGCCCCACCCAAGAGATTTTCATCATTAGGTACCCAGGTAGTTGTTAACTCTGAGGCTGAATACTAAGGAAAGGATGTTGTCAACCCAGATATTTTCAATACTTTGTGCAGTGCAGACTGTTTGAAATAGCTTTCATTTTCTCCTGTAAGAAAGGGAACTTTTCTAATTTTTGGATCATTTGGAGTTCTGATTATAGGTCTTAGAGTCAAGTGAAAGATAGACATACCACCCTGATAATCTGCTATAGTTTCAGCTATTGTAGGAACTGGTATTGGTGTGACCAATTTTATTTTTATTTTTTATAAATATTTTTTATAGTTGTAGTTGGACACAATATCTTTATTTTATTTATTTATCTTTATGTGGCGCTGAGGATCGAACCCAGGGCCCCACATGTGCGAGGTGAGCACTCTACCACTGAGCCACAACTCCAGCTCCCCCCCACTTTTAAAAAATACTTTTTAGTTGAAGTTGGACACAATATCTTTATTTTATTTATTTATCTTTATGTGGCGCTGAGGATCGAACCCAGGGCCCCACATGTGCGAGGTGAGCACTCTACCACTGAGCCACAACTCCAGCTCCCCCCCACTTTTAAAAAATACTTTTTAGTTGAAGTTGGACACAATATCTTTATTTTATTTATTTATCTTTATGTGGGGTGTGACTAGTTTTAAATAACCAGATGTTCAGGGTCAGATATTCTTCTGTGGCTTCATGATTGGATTAGACTGTCTGGATTCCCTGATCAAGGATTGGTCTTTCAGAAATAAGGCAGATACTGACAAGGTTGGAGTAATTATCTTTTACATACACCTGCCCCTCACTTCCCTTTTAAAAAGACCATAGTGGGGAGGAGGGCACTGACTCTCCTTTGCTTCTCTTATATAGGAGATACACCGGAGGTTTGAAAATGCTCCTGATTCTGCCAAGACCAAGGCTCTGCAAACTGTTATTGAGATGAAGGTAAGTAAGAGCCTAATAAATCTCATAAAGAATCTTATCAGTCATGGTTTCAAGTGTGAGTCTTAGAAAATAGTTGCTAATAATATTTCACTCACCTGTGAGATTGATAGGACATTTTAAGACTTAATAAAATAATGTCTTAGAATAATTCTAATTTTCTTTCAGTTGTAGACCATAATTTAAATCAGACCAAAAAATTTTGTCTTTTGCCTTCACATCAACTGTTCTCTAAATTTTTGATTGGCTCAAGACCCAATACCTCCCTTAATGTAACAGGCTCACATCTTCTTTTTAAAGAAAATGCCTGCCAAATAGTGAGTTTCAGTAACCACAAATTGTCAGTCATTCCTTGAAGTAAAAATTGTGTTCCATGAAAAAAGTACCCAGTTCAGCTCACAACTCAGGACAACCACAAGTCCTGTTGCTAGGGACAACTGTCGTATTTCATTATACAGCAGAAGTGCTTCATGCCTGCCCCTGTTTTGTCACATGAAATATGAAAAAGATGCATACTTGAGGGTTGAGATTTATTAAAAGCACTTTTTTTTTACTGCTTAACCAAGAGCATCCTTATAAAATGTTGTTTCTTTTTAATTTTTTTTTTCTGTGAATGTTTGCCACTGAAGAATATAATGATTCACAGAGTGCTTTTGTGTCATTGCCTTGATTTGTGCTAAGGCATTAACAGTTTTGCTCACTGTTGCTTTTATACCTTTAGTGCAATTGTTAACGTGGTGGAAAAGTCAAACATTACCACAGTATTATTGTGGAAATAGTTTTGATCCTGCAGACTCTGTGAATGGGTTTAGGAGACCCCCAGTGTTCTAAAGTGTTAAAAACTCTGCTTTAAACAAATGAATAATTCACAGACTTTAGGCCATACAGAATGGTGACTGGGAGTTTGCTTTCTGAGTTAAACTCCCTGAATTCATATCTAAGTGTAATAGTTGTGTGCTATAGAGCACTTAGCCTCTATACCTCAGTTTCTCTCTCTCTCACTCTCTCTCTCTCTCTCACTCATATGTGTGGAGTGAAACTAGGGCCTTACACAAGCTAGGTAAGTGCTTTTACTCCTGAGCTACAACCCCAGTACATTTTATTTTTTATTTTGAGTTGCCCAGGCTGGGCTTGAACTTGTAATTCTCCTGTCTCAATTTCCAGAGTAGTTGGTATTACAGGTGTGCACACCCCGTCTGACTTTAATTTCTTTATTGATAAATGGTGATAAGAGTCTAATCCAGTGGATTGTTTTAAGATTTAAATTAGTTAAAACATGTAAAACACTTTGAATAGGACCTTGCGCATAGTAAACATATAATCTGTATTATCTGCTTCTGCTGATATTAACTGTGTTCTGTTTTATGAAGGTTTTAATATAGGGATTTATCTCCCTCCCCTTTAAGTTTGTATCCCTCAAAAAGCTCCAGATTGTGTTTTGCTTGTGGACTTTGATTCAATAAGAATACTTAGATACTGGTATATGAATAATTTTATGTAAATAGATACTTCTCAAATACAGTTATAAGAATTGTTCTCATAATTTGGACAATTTCCTCTTAAAACTTTGTTTATATTATATATAACATAAATTAAATATTTTTTAAAAAATATTTTTTAGTTATACATGGACACAATATCTTTATTTTTTTAAATGTATTTCTTACATACATGACAATAGTGGAGTGCATTACATTCATAATTATCCATTTACACCACCATTTTTCGTAACTCTGAATATAAAGCATGTTCATGCCAAATTATGCTATTATACATGAGCTCTTATTATTATTTTTTTTGCATTACAATTCTTAATACACCTTCATACTACAATTTATCATATCTCTGTTTGTATACAAGGTATGTTGACACCACACATCTTCATACATGTATTTTGTATGTGGTACTGAGGAACGAAACCAGTGCCTCACACATGGGAGGCAAGTGCTCTACCGCTGAGCCACACCCCAGCTGCCTATATCTTTATTCTTAATGGTGAAATGGTTTACCACTTTAAATGAGTGATTTATGGGGTAGTTATTATAATTAGCAGTCTTGAATACAATCCTGTAAGAGCCTTTAGAATGGTTTAATTGCATGGTTTTACCTTATTCACATTCACCACACATTTATTTTGCATGTTTTTTCCTGATCCCTGTTGATACCTAAGAACAAAACATGAATGTACCTATTTACATAATTGTTCTTTTACTCATATTTTGACAAAACAGGGAAATGTAATTGTATTAGTTAGCAGTGAGTCTGTTTTAAGTGTGTTAACCTTGTGTTGAGATACAAGAGATTCTGGTGGACCAAAGGGGTCAAGTGTATGTTATGCTGGACTCATAACCAAAATAGCTGAGTTCCTGAGAATGCGGCATGAGCTTGGGAGAATTATGAAGACCTGGGATAGTCTTTGGGGAAATAGGAGAAAGAATGATCCACAGTGAAACAACTCAGTAATCGTCAAGGGAGTATGGTTTTCTCTTCTTCTCTTTCCTTTATTATCCCTTTGTCTACCGCTTTCTTCCTTTCCTCCTTTATTTCTCTGCCCCCTTCCTATTTTCTGCCTCATTTTATTTCTCTACCTTTTTCTTTTTCTTCTTTCTTTTTCCTTCACTAGTAGAGGGTCAAGGAAGAATTACTGTATTGCCCTAGGGTCTGAGTTTCACTGGGTAGATAGAGCAGAATGATTGGGATGCAAATGAATTGATGGTGATAAGAAGTCCTGGACTATACCCTATATATGGAAGAAAGAAGATTCATATGAACTCACAGTTTGGAGAAAATGTGAATGTTAGGGAAGTGAGGTTGAAGAACATAAAATAACCAGGGCAAGGGTGTGTCAGGCCTGGGAAGAGAGGGCTGGGTGATGATGGGATTGGATCCAGTGTATGGTCCTGTAAACTAATAGCTAAAATGGACTGGAAGATGAGGTTATTGGAGTTGTGGCTCTCAAGGATTTCTTACATTGAAATCCTAGGGTGATGTTTGACAAAAGTGGCAATTAAAGGAAAGGCTGTGAACTTGTGCCACAGACTTCATAAATCCACAGGAGTGTTTGAGAAGTCCCTAGATGGCAGTGTGAGGAGGATGGAGTGAAAAGGGACCTGCATATGAAGGAAACAGCATGACGGAGCCAAGAGAATGCTAACCCTTTACCCAGGCCCTTTGTGGAGCAGAGAGATTATTGGAGAGAGTTTAGGGAAATTATATCCTTTGGGAAAGCCAGATTTTACTTGGAACAGGGAGATAATCTCTGAAAGTTGAGGTCCTGGGGAATTTTGCAAGAAGTAGAGTATTTCATCAGGCCCAGTAGTGTTGCTTGATCAATGATGGGGGAGCCAGGGCCAGGGAAATAGAGCATGGGAAGGCAAAAATATTTATTTAGTTATTACACATTCTAGGAGTGAGAAATCTGTTTGGAGTAACTACCCTCAAATAAATCCAGACTTGGTACCATTTGAGTATTAGGCATTACTTTTCTCATCTGATTTCAGACAACAGCTTGGCAGATTTTTTTCTGGATAGCCAGTGTCTGCCTCATAATTTTCAGAGCTGCAGTTTCTTTCTGGGAAGTAGCTTTTATGATGCATGCTTTGGTAGCCAGGGTGCTGATTTGGTCAAGAGCTGCCTTTCTGTCATTGTTTTGGGAGGTTAGGGGAGAGGATGGATAAGGTTTTTTGGCCAGGGCCATGTAGAGGCTTTGTACAGGTAGGATCTGCCATGTGATATGCAAAGCTGGATTTCTTAACCTAGGGCTCTGTTGTCTTTTGTGGAGCCCTAGTTTTGCTAGAAAAGTGCCTGCCTGCCCCTCCCTTCCTCCCTCCCCCCATCCCCCCTCCTCCCCCCCTCTAAAGTTGGTTCTCTTTTTTAACCCCCAGTGGAAACCTACATTTCACTTTCTTTTAGTCACATGCACATGGATAGTATTTTAGTCATTTTTAGGGAATTGTATCCTGATACTTACAGAAAAATTTATAGTAAGCTTCCAAAAGGGAATTTCAGATAGTGCAATTAAAGTAGTACTCTTATGGCTTGGGAGATGGCATGAGGCTGACTGTTTTTAAATGAATAAACCATAATCCTGGTTGAAGTTGAATTGTTGTTTAAGTGTGTTGTTTTCAATACATTTAATTTTGAACAAAATACAAATTTTGACTAGATTATTTTTTTTGGATATATATTTTTAAAGGTATTACAATAAGTGATACAAGGGCACTTTTCCCTTCCTCTTGTCCTTAAACCTGAAAATAACTAGCTGTAGTTGTCTCATGACAGATCCTTAAACTATTTGATCTTCATGCTCTAGGAATTAAGATGGCAAGGAAAGCCAACTAAGAAATCCTTGAGGTAAATGGGAAAGGAAATTAATTTTAAAGTTTTTTTTCTAAAGCCTTAAGTAAAATAAACAGTACTTAATTTAGACTCTTTATGGCCTCTATTTCTTAGGCAAATAAGTGTGTGCAACAGCAAATGTGAAACTATTCATTCCATGCAGGAATTTTCATGTAATTGATGCATCAGTAATCTGGGGATAAATTAGATACTGTGAAAAACAAAATCAAGAAATTGAATATAGAGGGATCTAATACTAGAAGGCGATATTTGTGGTAAGGATGATTATTTACAAGAACAGGGATTTTTATTTACTTGTTTATTTTTCATAGAAATAATTTTATTTTAAAATTTGTTTTACTTAGTTACACATGACAGTACAATGACCTTGACATATCATACATTTGAATCAGATGGGAAATAATATCTCATTTTTCTGAGTATACAGGTTGCAGAATCACATTGGTCATGCATTCACATATATACGCATAGTAATAATAATGTCTGTTTCATTCTACTATCCTTCCTATGTCCCCAACCCCTCCTCTCCCCTCCCATCACTAATCTAGGGTAACACTATTCTTTTTGTTTTCCTAATCACATCTTCATACATGTATTTTGTATTATTTATTTTTGAGACAAGATTCTTGCTATGTGGCCCAGCTGGCCCTGAACTCTAAGGCTGAAGTGATCCTTTTGTCTCAGCCTTCTTGAGTAACTGGCATTATAGAGATGTGCTAATGTGCCCAGTTTTTAAAAAATTATTAAGTATTTCAAATGTATGGAGTAGAGAATAAGATTGCTAATATTATAAAAAGCACCTGTTAATATAATCATACCTTTATTTTTCTGAAACAGAATGTTATAAAATTTTTACTACACATATACAGTTACATGCATTATTATAAATCTTTGAAACCTTCTTACTCCTCCCTCTTTGGGGGGAACTATGCCTTATAGGGGTTGCTAAGTAAAATGATAAACTACTGGAACGAGAAAAGCCTTTACTGCCCCCACACACCAGAAATTTGTTAACTCATAAAGTGCAAAGAAGCTTTAACCATTTCTCCATTGCTTCTACTTCTTTAGTGATCTTAATTTTGATCAAAAGGGTCTAGAACTAGAGGAAGAGATACAGAAAATCTTTTTGTGGATATGAGAGTCCTCCTCCCCTCACCCAGATGACTATAAAGGAGGTATTTTAGAAGCAAGTCACCAAATCTGGCAGCATTTTTTGTATATTTATTTATCTTTATTAATTTTAACATTTAAAAAGACCTGTTTATTTAGTTTCTCTGAGTTTTTGTGAATACTTTAATGTTTGACTCTTCTGTTGTCCTCAGGATTCAAAAATTTCCTCTATGGAGCGTGGGCTCCGGGACCTGGAAGAGGAAATTCAGATGCTGAAATCAAATGGGGCTTTGAGTACTGAAGAACGGGAGGAAGAAATGAAGCAAATGGAGGTGTATCGCAGCCATTCTAAATTTATGAAAAACAAGGTAATGGTGCATAATACTACTATAGTTCATAGGAATGATGTGAAAGATTGATGCATATTTTTACTTCTTTAGTAATGATAAAGATCTATTTGATTGTTTTATCAGACATTGGGGAAGCATTCTTTTAAGTAGAATTTTCCCAGAATTAAGGTCAAAATTCCTGATATCATACAGTTATTATAAGCTTTTATTTAAAAGAAAAGTACTTGTATGGGACAAAGTCTATATTTTTTATAATTTAACTTATCCTATCTATAATTACTTTTGAGGTGATTTAGTAGTATTATATCCAGATGTGTTTTTCTTCATTATATGAGACATCCAGTTCTCTACCTCTTGTGAAATATTTTAAGTCAAAATCCCAAGAGGCTGAATCCAGCTTTTTTTTTTTTCTCCTTCCTGAAATGGGTTAAATGAAACTGTGTTTCCCCTTTGAATACAGGAAAGCTCTGTGCTGTATCCCTTGGAGAAGGTCCATTTGCTCCCAGTTTTTTGCTTCCCATGTCCATTTCAGGCATAGTGTAATAAGATAGATACCATGGAGACTTACTTGACAGCATGTGTTTTAAAATCAGTCACATTATTTCTTCCTTATATCCAAAGTCATTTAGTTTGAGTTGATAAACTGTTTAGACAAATTGAAGGATTTAATTTATTATAGGTATCAGTTTTGTTGTGGTTTAATTAAAAATTACAATTGTAATGGGAGTAAAATTTTAATTTGACAGTATTTCCCGACTGTATTATCCAAATGGATATCCAAGAATTGAAAACTGAAACATTCACAGTAGTGTAAGAGATAACACCATGGTAACTCCCTCCTGCATTTCTGTTTTTTTGTTGTTGTACCCACACCTGCCTTATATGTCTTTAAAATATTTCCTTACTATTAAGAATCTATTATCAGCTGGACGTGATGGCGCATGCCTGTAATCCCAGTGGCTTGGGAGGCTAAGGCAGGAAGGATCACAAGTTCAAAGCGAGCCTTAGCAATGGTGAGGCATTAAACAGCTCAGTGAGACCTTGTCTCTAAACAAGATACAAAATAGGGCTGGGGATGTGGCTCAGTGGTTGAGTGTCCCTGAGTTCAATCCTTGGTACCCCCCCCCCAAAAAAAAAAAGAATCTATTATCAATGACATCTGGCAATTTTATGTTAATTTTAGAACTTAAAAATTCACATATCCAGCCTTCTATTAGTTTGGGTTTTTCACCCCTTGACAACAAAATACACTGCAATAAAGTCTGTATGTTTATGCTTTCCATTTGTTGATAGCACATGACAGTTTATTAAAAAAACAAAACAAAACTGAAAAAACCACACACAATCCTGTGAAAACTGAGAAACCTTCTATGTCCCTTTGAAGAGGGAATTAGGGGAACAGATTTAATTGTGTACATGAGTCATTGTTATTTCCAGTGGCCATTCTGGCTCAAAAGTAGTTAATAAGATGACCTAACTTGACACATGAGTGAAAAAGAATAACAATGTCGTGACAGGTAGAGCAACTGAAGGAGGAACTAAGTTCGAAAGAGGCTCAAGGGGAGGAGCTGAAAAAGAGAGCAGCTGGTCTTCAGGCTGAGGTCTTTGCCGTAAGATTTACCTCTTTGTGTGCAGTGATCCCACAGTGGGACCCTGCCAGTTCTGGCTTCTGGGTGGCTTACACTTTCATTCTCTGTGGTTGGCAACTTTACCCACCACTAGCACTAACCAGCCTGCTTTGTTCTTTAACTGACTCCTGTTCACTAGTTTGACCCAGATGCCACTTTATATGCACTGAGCCCTGTGTTTTCTGGAAGCCCTATAACATGGTTCTTTATTATTGCTTTTATTCTTCTATGGAAGGTATTTCAAAGCTTGTTTTTTTCCCCCCAAGCCATTATTACTAGATACTTGTTGATTTATATAAATGGTGGTCTTTTTTCTTCTTACATGCAGGAATTACAGATGTTTTAGGTCCATCACCTAGAGTTCATTTGAATTTGAAATTCTCACGTAGAATACCTCTTATGTAGACATTGCCTTTAAATTCTCATTAAGTGATTCTGCAGCAAATGTTATTTTCTTTAGGGCAGATGGATGGAAAGTAATTAGCTTATTTAGAGTTATCAGTAAATTTGAATTAGTGTGTGACATATCAAGTATCTAAATCTAGTTCAACCTTCTGTTTAATGAACTTAATATTTCATTTCAAAACATAATAATAAATAATAATAAAATAGCTAATACTAATTTATTGTAAGCTCTTTATAACCTTCTGAATTTATCAACCCCAATTTATAGATGAGGAAACCAAGAAAACAGAATGATGCCTAGGAAGACAGTTTTTAAGAGTCAGGGTGTTAGCTAAGAATGTAATGCAGAATAGAAAAAATCTTGTGCTAATTTGGTATGTTTGCTGTTTATGAACCACTTTATAGTATTGATAAAAAGCAAACTGTTTTGTTTGAAAGAGTCTAATTTGGCTAATGGCTTGACCATGTCTAGAGGAGAAGATAATCTATTATTTCCTTTATTTTTTTAGCTACTATTATTTATTTCTGTGTAATGTTAGGCTAAATGGATTTCATACATTATTTTATTGAATCCCTAAACAATAAAGTGACATTGGTATAATTTCTTCCTGTTACAAGTTAGGAAACCAAAACTTAAAGAGGCAGAGTAATTGCTCAAAGACATAGCTCTCTCAGCCTAACATGTGGCTGACTGCAAAGTCTTGTGCTTGTGACTTTTTATTATTTGCTTTTTGTTTATAATATTCTCTCCTCTTCTGAGTCTTTAAGGAAAATTTGTGCTTCTAAATTTCGTTTAAAATATTTTCTTTCCTTTTTCAGTCTTTCCTGTCAGTATAACTATATGTGAAGCTTATTCAATAATGCAGATGATGAGGAAACTGAGATTTTATATTTATTTTTGATCCTATGATTGGAAGTAGCTGGAAATTTGAATAACCTTTAGGCCATAGTTCTCTACTAAGGAAGTGGTAACACTTTAAGCATTTCTTCTGAATATTCATTTATAAAACAGATGCATTTTTAGTGCAATCTGTGTGTTAGGGATGGGATAATAGTAATGTGAATTATTTGTTGATAAAGTGATAGATATATCATCAGTATCTACAAGTACTTGGCCTATAATAAGCATACAGAAATATTGTATGAATGCATAACTTTATTAGTAAACAGATTTCATATGAGAAAAATGCTTTTTTTTGTTAAAATGGAAGTCTAAATTAGAAATTTATTTGTAGTGTTTCTTAAAATTTTCTGGTAAAATTTATTTCCTTTTGGGAAATTGTTTTTAAAAGCTTTACCCCTTTTACCTGAGATTATTACAATAAAATACTCTAGTATTTAGTTTTTTTTTAAAATAAAGGACTTGTGGGATGCAATGTCTCATGCCTGTAATACCTGCTACTTGGGAGGCTAAGGCAGGAGGATCACAAGTTTGAGGCCAACCATAACAACTTAATGAGACCCCATCTCAAAATAAAAAGGGCCTGGGAATGTAGTTAAGTGGCAGTGCACCCTTGATTTTAGTCCTCCGTACTACTAGAAAGAAAAAAGAAAAGGACTTTTCATTTAATCAGTGATAATGAAATTACTGACTTTTTGTTTAGTTTATACTTTCAACAATGCTTTTAGTACCTTGCTGGGTGGTAGACTTAATATAAAAGCAGATCTAATTTCTGTTTATTTGGTTTATATTTAGAATAAAAGACTTTAATTCTTAGAAACAATAGAGATATAGAGGAAATGTTTGAAAGAAAGTATTTTCTAGTTAAGAGAGATTTTTATGAGATAATGAATGGCATCAGTTGATTTATGGATTACCCTTTCAGAGTAACAAACTTTAAATTACACATGTAGATTTTTACAGAGAGATTTAATGCATTAACTTTTATCCGTTTTGATGATATGACATATTGTAGGTGATAGAACTTTATAGATAGAATCTTTTTTGTCAAGTTTTATACACATAACAAAAATTATACAATTTTAAAAAACACATGTCTGTAATAACTTGTAGCACTGAAAGAAACAGTTTTTAAGATAAGGCTTTTATGAAACTTGTTTGAGAATGAGAATAAAACTTAACAAAAAATAGAGATGCAGCACTACCTTTTGAATTTAAATACTAGTATCAGGAGGTTTCTTTTTTCCTTCTGTTATATATGTACATTAATCTAACGTTTGATCCATTACATTCTAGAGAGATCTGACTTAATAAAATGGAAACTACTTTTTTAGAACAGTGGAGTTTAGGTGCATATGGCTATCTTATAGTTATCTAATTGAGTTGGAAATTTTTTTCCATTTCTTTACTAAAGGGTTTCAAAGAATATTTAGAAGACAACAAATGAAAAGTGGAAATTTCCCTCTTTGTTGAATAAGCTTCATTTTTAGGGGATGTGGAGGTGGTGGTGGGATCCAACATAAGATGATGGAAAGGAGATGAATATGTTGTTTTTATTTATTTATTTACTTTACCTACCTACCTACCTACCTACCTACCTACCTACCTACCTACCTACCTACTGTGCTGAGAAATGAATCAGGGCTTTGTGCCTGCTAAGGAGGTGCTCTACCATTGAGCTACACCCCAGGCTTCTGTCTTAGTTTTATATCTTGTGATTTAGATTTGTCAGAGGTCAAGATGAGAGGTCTTTTTTATTTTTTTTCTTAGAGTGTTTTTTTTTTTTTTCCCCCCCAGATTGGCCAGGTGAAACAGGAGCTGTCCAGAAAAGACACAGAACTACTCGCCCTACAGACAAAGCTAGAAACGCTCACAAACCAGTTCTCAGACAGTAAACAACACATTGAGGTGCTGAAGGAGTCCTTGACTGCTAAGGAACAAAGAGCTGCAATCCTGCAGACCGAGGTAAAGGGATTCTGGGATGCATGTGGAATTGATACCTTGACATCTTTTCAAAAGTGCCATTTTTTAATGTTTAAATTTGGAAAATATGAATAATGTTACAATTTATTCTTCAGCAGTATGATCATTTATTGTACTAAAATCTAACCACCTTGTTCCACTTGTTATTAGCTCTAAGAAATTAAAACTGTGCTATTTATTTACAATTTTAATATTTTAGACTTTAACAAGTTTGTACTTTAGAGTATATTCTAAATATTCAAATGAAAGGATACTTATAAGAAAGAAATAATTGCATTAGAAGCCTTAATTCTCATCCGTTGTAAATTGTCATGAGTGTCAATGAGGTTAGTTATCCTGTGTTTGGATTATATGCAAAACATCCTTAATTTTTAATATTTTTGAATAGTTTTATGTAGGCAAGTTGTAGAATCTGTAAATGTTCTAAATAGATGTAGTTTTGAACTATAGATCATTAGACAGTGTCTTTTCATGTATATCCTGCTTGAAAATAAAGTTAGTGTTTTCAGAAATCTTAGATTATCTCATCTATTGGCCCTCATTTCAGGGAGGAGTAAGTAATCCCAGGGAAATTCTCATCTGTTGTATTTTCAAGGATCAAAGACAAGGAATTGGTGTTCTTATTTGGATACTGTCTTAATAAAAATATTTAAAAAAGATCTCAGTGAAATAGATATAATTTAGGTAGGAATAGGGAGTAGTTCTGTATAAAAGAAAGATAAAGCGTATAATGTAGATTAATTTTTTTAAAAAAACAACCAGACAATAGATAAATAAGGGCATAGTTTGATGGACAAAGGAATGTGGAGGAAAAAGAATAAAAGCATCATAGTTTTGGACAAACAGAATCTTCAAGTATGGAGGAATGAAAAAAGACTTGGGGAAGGGACTGAAACTATTTCATGTTGTATTTTTTTTTTGTCTGTATAGTTTCACGCTTTGTGGAAAATGAGAGATTTGTTGATGTAGTTGATATTTTCTTATAATTCACATTTTTTCTTTTAAAATCATATTTCATTTTGTCATGTTATCAATTCCATTCTACCTCAGAGAGAGATTTGGGTATAAAATCACAAGGTGCAATAAAGGTTAAGGCTCTAGAGTCATCTTTTTTGAGTTTGGACTTTTATTTTTACCACTTGCTTATTAGGTGCATGATCTTAGGTGTGTACTTAACTTCATGGTGCCTCTCTTGCCACATTTATAACGTGAACTGAGTAGTAGTATCAGCTCCTAAATTTGATCTTAAAATTAAGCTAGTTATTCATGTCTAGTACCAGACACATCATATGGTGTTTATATATAGTTATTGTCATCATCATTATAATTCTTATAATAAAATCAGCTCATATATATAAACTGTTAGGATTGTTAGGAGAACATAGTTGGTTTTCTTTTATTGGCATAAATTTGTTTTGAAGATATGCTTTTCATGTATTTATTGGGCTAAATTTAGCTTTATTCACAGAATTAGAAATTTAAAATCATCTGGAAAATATTACCCACAAAGTTATTAGTTTATAGTTTTATTAAGAAAAAGAAACTTGTACATGCAGTACTACAAAAGACTCAGAAGAGGGTGCCAGTATCTTAGAGGTGGTCCCTGCTTTTAGGTTTGCTACTGCGATGGCTTTGGCTGGAGGCAGCAGGTGTGCAAACTAGAGAACGAAGCAGTTGGCTAATGATAATGCAAACATTTAAAAGCTTGTCACAACCTAATAAATGACTTTTCCCCCTTGGCAATCCATCCTTCTCTTTCTACCCAACTCAAATAATGTTCTTATTAGCTAGGTCTCACACAGATGGGCTTGTGATTGGTTTCTTGTACCATAGAGAATAAAGACTGTATTTGTTGTCATTCTTGAATGGTTTTTATATTTGTTTTTAGCTATTGTGGGAGAAGCTGAGCCTCAGTGGATTCCCCCAGTTAAGTTATTAGGACAACTGCTCAAATATAACCATTTCATCCCTATTTAAGAGTATGAAAGCTAACTTCTCTTTGATTTTGGGTTGATTTTAAGATTGTATTATGATTATTTATTAGCATTTACATAAAAGTGACATTTGATAAGAATCACTTTTCCCAATGCAATTTCCCAGGTTAGAGCCCAATAAAAGGCAGTTCATCCCAGTATTTTGAAAGTTACTTTGTATTTCTATATTTAAAAAATTTTTTTGTAGTTGTAGATGGACAGAATGCCTTTATTTTATTTGTTTATTTTTATGTCGTGCTAAGGATCGAACCCAGTGCCTCCCACAGTGGCAGGTAAGCACTCTGCCACTGAGATACAGCCCCATCCCTCTGTATTTTGCTCTTAGTTGATTTTTGTCCTCTTCTCGGTAGATATCCTAGGTTCAGTCTAAATCACTTAAAAAATACATATATATTTTATATATGAAAAAAAACATGAGTCATAGGACTTTTTTTAAATAAAAAAAAATTTAAGGAAAAAAAGTGGTATGGGAAAGGACCTGTTTGGCCCACTCTCTTCCCTACTGTGGGCAGTTGGGTTGAGGCCCTTGGGTGTATAGTGAATGCAAAATTGCTCCTATTTTATAAACGTATCTCTTAATCTGTTAACCTTCACAGAAATACTCTGGATTTAGTAAAATAGAGGTTAAAAGCATGGACTTTGGAATCAGACCTGGGCTTAAAGCCCATCCTCCCTCTGTGTTCATTCCTCTGTGACCATAGATGAGTTTCTTCACCTCTTTAGGTCTGTGTATCCTCAGCTGTAAAAATAAGTATAATGACATTACCAACTTGCTAAGGTGTTGAATTATGTAGCTCTTTTCTGAATATGGAAGGAAGCTTAAATTCAGTGGGTTAAAAATATTTTAAAACACTTTACAGCAGTTTGATTTTTATCTCTATTTTATTTGCTCCTCATAGTAATGGTGTGGGTTAGACAGGGTAAGTATTATTTTGCTTTTATAATTGAGGATTAGAAGAAGTAGTTGTTAGTTCAGTGTATTTAATACTACTGTTGGGGCTACTCTGACTAATAATCCTGGGACTTTTAATACTGATAATAATATTCTCAGTAACTTTCCAATTTATGCCCACTTTTTATTCCTAAATCTTAATGCCATACTATAAGCTTCTCACTAAATTCAATATGCAAAGCTAATTTTTTCAATAAACTAAAATAATATTGACCTTGCTGTCTCAGCATGATAGCATTTTTTCTTCTCCAGGAAATTGTGTTTTGAAATTCTGTTTATTCAAGATGAGCATTATTATAGAGACAGTAGGAAGAAGTCATATTTTTTTCTTCGGTGGGACACAGGATCACCATCCAGCCCAAAGTAAATAATTGCTCTAGCTCTAGGATTTCCAGATACTAGCTAAGATGTTGGGATGCTGTTCTTTCACATATTTGGTCTGTTTGCAGCCCCAACCCAATGCCATGGTATGCTGCCTTTTAAGATACAGTTCTGGCTTTCTTAGCACCAGAGGGCATATTTGGAGGTCACTTAGTCTTTCCATAATTAAAAAGTATGTCTGATTATATGTAACATTGAGTGCTTTCCATAGTTAAAAAGTATATTTGATTATTTGTAACATTGAGTGCTTTCTGTATACCAGGTAGAGTGTGTATACTTTCATTTGTTTTTTTTCAGTTAATCCTTAAGGTACCCTTCTAAAAAATAGAAGACTCTTCAAAGCAGTGGGAATATAGTGGTGAATAAAATAGACTGTATGAAACAGCTGCTTAGAATAAGAGAGAACTAGGTCCCATGACTAGAACAGAGTTTGGAATCTTTTTCAGGTGACTATGTTTTGTCTCAAATGCCCTACTGTGAGAACTGCTGGTCTTGGATGAATTATGGGGTGAGGTTTGGGACAGGTGTTGTGGGGGTAACTTAGGCATGACATTAAGCCTGCTTGTGTAGGTAGACTGGTCAGCTTCTGAGTGTTCCTTCTTCTCAGCATCGCTTATATATCTGAGGGTACAGCGTATCTTTAGAAAAAAGAGCTTTATCTGAACAGAAATAAAGATTATTAGACTATAGGTTCCTTGAGCCGGGAGGCTTACTTCCTATAACCACTCCAAATGATGAGTTGGCAATGCTCACAGTGGTAATGGGATAATATCTTGTTTGTGGGAAGAGGTACATAATGTTAAACTTAGGAAATTGACAAGAAAATGTAAGTGTAAAGCATGGCTCTTAATATACCAGAAGAATCTAATTGGAGCATATGAGTTTTAAATCAGCAGAATAAAACTCAGTTTTCTATTTGTAGAGAAAAGAATGTGGGATAGGGAGAAAGAATAATGATGGTGTGTAGACATTATGAAAAAAAGATGACTAAAATAAGTATGAATAAAGGGAGAGGCAGTAAATTCAAATGAGTTATGCTTAGAGTAAAATATTAGTTGTCAATAAGAATTAAACAGATAAATTGAACAGGTAAACTGAAGCAGCAAAACTAAAAATATAAAGAAAGTATTTTTTTTTTTCTTTTGGTTGCTGCTGGGAATCAAACCCATGGCCTTGCACATGCTAAATGTATGTGCTCTACCGTGGATTGAAATCCCCAGCGCAAGAAAAAAACTTAAAAAATAAAAAATTTTATATTGGGAAAATATGTTGCTACTAATCTGATTTACCTTAATAGTAAATATATTTTTAGGCAAGTAAGTTATAAGATATACAGAACAATGTTATATTAGAGGAATAATAGATAAAAAATATAATGATTGGGAATATTTATGCATCTAACAACATTGTGTTTAAGTATATAAAGTAGCAATAAGGAGAAATAAATGAATCATCTGTTGTTGCAGTTGGTCATTTGAACATGCTCCTTTCAGAATTTGGTCAAATAAACAAAGAGAAGCAATAATTTAGAAAATTACAATAAACATTGATAAACTGAGACTGATAGGTGTATATATAAAATCTTGCATTAACAAGTAGAGAGTAAACAATATTTTCAAGAACTTATTGGACAGTCATAAAAATCAATGATGTAC